CCCCATCTAGATGCTTATCTAACCTCCTCTTGAAGACCCCCAGGGTAGGGGAGAGCACCACCTCCCTTGGGAGCCCGTTCCAGACTTTGGCCACTCGAACTGTGAAGAAGTTCTTCCTAATCTCCAGTCTAAATCTGCTCTCTGCTAGCTTGTGGCCATTATTTCTTGTAACCCCCGGGGGCGCCTTGGTGAATAAATACTCACCTATTCCCTTCTGTGCCCCCGTGATGAACTTATAGACAGCCACAAGGTCGCCTCTCAACCTTCTCTGCTGCTCCTTTCTGTACCACAGCAGCACGGGGATGAATTTAAGACGACCCTCCAATAATTATATTCTATACATGGAAAATTATAAATTTGTTTATGAAATCATAACTTTTCCACGTATAGAATCAAATTGCATGCGAGGTGGGGGTGGGGGGGGGTCGTTTCAAATTCAGAGTCATCTTGGATTTGGGTACATCCATGAAGAAAAGTAAAGGCAACTGAAATGTAGACACGCCTGAAGTTTCATGTGCCTGTACAATGACATTACTACTGCACCATATGTTGGGTGCATGGTTATTTTTAGCTGCTACTTTGCACTCTGCTACTTTGCACACTATAACGAAGGAGTATGCTGCTATGGCAAAGTAGCTGCTGGTCATGTGTAGACACATGTGGTTGCTATGTCACCGTAGGACATTGCTACAGCAACATAGCATCATGTGTAGACGTGCCCTTCGTGTAATACCTTCTTGCATATCAGCAACTGTAATGTAAATGTCATCACTTTATTTAAGCGTATTTCTATTGGTGGAGTTTTGTTCAAATGCTTAAGCTTTCGGGACTTCTGTTGTAATTGTTGACTGAAAACATGAGAACCCTATGTTATAGTGATCTGGAAAGAGGTTACTCTTGGCTAAATCTCTCTTTAAAATGGAGAGATTTTAGGATTATAAGTGATATATATTGCTTTATTTAAACAGCTGTATAACATTCAATAAATTGTAAGGGATATCTTTGTGATGACATCTAATTTTAAAATACTAAATATTTATAATTGCAGAGCTAAGATATTGCAAAATTTTCAAATCATCCTCCACCTCGCCTTCCAATTTACAAAAAAGTATTGTTTTTCACCTGTTTATCTTGATGATATTTTGTTAGGTAACAATCAACATTTTTTAAAACAAATATAGATCCCGCATAAGTTCACATAAGGATTAGAACGTGCTGTTTATAAATACACTCTCCACTTCATAGTTCTTGAAACCAGTATTTACTTTGGCCTTGCCCCAAACCCCCAAATGACCTGAAAACATGTTGAACTTTGAAAAAGTTAAATCTGCTGCTGTCCAAGGATTCTACTATTGCCAGAACAAATATAAAACAAATATTTAGCCACCGGTGCCAGATTTGGGAGTCCACCTGCCCTGGACTATATTCATAATGTAAAAGGGATTTTTTTGCATTAAATGAAGAATGGTATGTGTTCTTCTTTGAAGTGATTTCACATTGTCATAGAGACGTAGGGCCAGAACCATCCTCACTCAAATTGCCCCATAGAGATCCCTGTCTAACCTATTCCTAAAACTACACAATCAATCCCGCTACACAACTAAAAGGCATATGGCCCAAAGACACCAGGCACTGCTGCTGCCTAACCCTTCAGAGTGATGAGGGCTGTCAGCATCTTACTGCTGCTGGGGTTGTTTAAATGCATTCAAGAGATCCAGAGAAAAGGGCCATACCGTCTGCTTCAGGGGAAGACAAAAACCCTCACACAGTCTACTGGGCATGTCTAAACATGGATTAATATGCTTTAGTTAAAGTGCACTAAATTTAGTACTTCCATTGTGAGGTACTAGGTAAATGCACATTAGCCCGCCTTAACGTGTATTAACTAAAGACCCCAGTAGTGGGTGTTTATAGACATGCTCCAGGAGGCCAGGGGGTGCTTTAATTAGCAAGCTGCGCTAATTAAAAGTGCTCGTGTCATGTGTATCTGCATCCCCAGGCTGAAACATGGCAGTGGGGCGCTTTGAACTAAAGCGCATTGAACAAGTTTTAGTTTAAAGCGTCTCTGCCATTTTTCAGTGCAGGGACTCTGATGCATGTGGTGCTGGAGGCTGTTGGACCACGTTATTTTTCATGCTATAGCAGATTTGATTAATTGACTCTGCTCCGAGGTACTGGATTTACAGCACATCGGAGCAGCCTTACTCCAGTCTATAGGAGTCCACAGTTTTTTTAGTGATACTTAACATGCATTAGCCTATTTTTATGTGCATTAAATAGCACATTTTTAGTGATGCTTTAATGTGCATTAACATAGGCTAATGTGCATTAAAGCATGCATGTAGACTCACCGGCCCATCTATACACGAGCATGGCGGCTGCTCCGATGTGCTGGAATTCTAGCATGTCGGCACAGACTTGGTTAATCAAGTCTTTTGGAGCTTGGCAATTACCGTGCTCCAGCAGCCTCCTGCATCTTGTACATCAGCGTCCCTGTGCTTAAAAATGGTGGCAGGGCCGCTTAAATGAAAGCTCATTGAAAAAGCTTTAGCTCAAGCACCCCCACCACTATTTTTAAGCGCAGTGATGCTGATACGAGACGTGGTGGCACTTTAACTGAAGCAGCTCTCGAAGCCTCTCCAATCAAAGTGCCACCTCCCCATTCCTGAAGCATGTGTAAAAGTGCCCACCCAGTCTGTACCGATCTAGGCACAGGGTACTTACATGCTGGGCATGTCTACATGTGTAGTTACGCATGCCTAAACTTAATGTGCCTTTGTTTAAAGAACATTAAGGTGATTTAGGCATGCGTCTACACCAGAGCTTTCCAAACTGTGTGCCGCCACACATTAGTGTGTCGGCGGCAGTGTGTAGGTGTGTCGCGCGAAATGCAGAAAATTTTGCAGAAGGGCACCGCGGAGCTCCCTTACTCGCATCTGCTTCCCTTGGCCCCTCCCCCGGAACTGAATTACTGTGTCACGAAATGATGCATGTCTAAAAAGTGTGTCACCAACATGAAAAGTTTGGAAACCTCTGGTCTACACATAAACGAGCTAATGTGTATTAAGGCGCATTCAATTTAGACACGCATAACTAAGTCACATTAGCCCACATGTAGCTGCGCTAATGTGCATTAACACAGTGTGCATCCATTGATGCACACTGCATCAATGCGTATTAAATATCTACATGTAGGCTAATGCAGCTTAGCTAATTGCACCTAAATTTGGTACTTGCTTTAAGCAGGTATCAAATTTAGGCTGGATAAGCCAAAAATCACCATTTTTAAGGCCTTAAGGGTGTGCACATATGGGCACACGCCCTTAATGTGCCTTAAAAATGGCAATTTTTGGCTGATCCTGCTTAAAAGGGCCATGTGTAGACAAGCCCCCTGAGCGGAAGGACAAAGCCCTCTAACCCTCTACAACCAACACCCGATGCTTCTGAGGAAGGTGAAAAAAAATCCTTTGCAAAAGGAAGGGGAAAAAATCCTTCCTAGCTCCATGTGGCAA